GATCATCAGCAGGCAGGTGAGAGGATGCTCCTTGAACCCACACAGCCCACGAGGGGTGCAGCTGTTGTACACCTTGAGGTGGCCCGTGCAGTGCAAAACCTAGGAAAGCAGATTAGACACACATATATCAATAATATTCTAGATAAACTATTATCTGTAACATCTGATATCATAATGATGCAGTACAGTGCTATTCTGGATAAAGAACACAAAACAGAATTTACAATCAATAGTAAACAAGCCAAATAGAGGGTTGTTCATGAGTAGTGATGGCAATGATCTTGGCATCTTCTGTTAGTTCCATGGACTCACCTTCCAGCTGGCTGATTTCAGGTTGATAGTGCGTCCACGGTTTGTCACTGTGCACTTCATCCTCATGAAGAAGTCTCTCTCAGTGCTTAAGGCTTTCCCCTTCGTCCCAGTGCCTGTGAAGAAACATACACAGATCATTATTGAGGGTTATCATTCAAGAATGTATCATTTTCACCTTCATTTTCCGATCACATGCTTGTGACATCACCGTTTTTGTGTGAGGTCAAGGTTTCGGTTGCTTTACACTTTTCTCTATCCCAGGAACGTGCGTGCACACACGAAGACTCTGCCCCATGTTTCTGACATATCTGGAGCAGCAACTCAGTCCAAAAGGGCTGATCGTAAAGCTGTTAGTGGTGACATCATCACTACATTGTAGCACATTCAGACTATTTTTTACGCACCTCCTTGTATTCAGTAGCATCTATGAATCCCATGATTATGAAGGCATAAATGTGTAAAAGTGTGTATACTTATTTAGCATTTATGTAGTTCTGTCCTTCTGATGTTCTGGTCTATTAATGTTCTGTAGTATTTCATGTTTTGTGTGGACCCCAGGAAGAGTAGCTGCTGCTTCAGCAAAAGCTAATGGGGATCCTAATAAAATACTAAATACTAAATTCGCAACAGCTGCAGCCAAGCCATTACATCACAAGGTCAGAGTTCAGCCCTGAGTTCAGCCCTGGGTGGCATTCCTCAGACACTGGCCGCTAGCCGTGGAGCAAGGCAGCGCCTTATGGGTACAGCTGATAAGGAGTGTTAAAGGGGGGCGCCATGACGGGGGTGGAGGCAGGGAAAGGCCTGGCATGGCTGGCAGCACGTGTGGACACAGCAGCAGCGCCCGCACATCCACCAACCTTACCACCGTCCTCTGGTCCCCCATGCCCCCTCTCTATCAACAGTCCCAGGAAGGGGCCTGAGGAGTAGGCCTACTAGACTCCTGGTCTGACCACTTTGGTGGCCCGCCCTGGAATGAGAGAAATGGATTCAAATAGCAACAAAAACAGAACAGCAGAACACTGGGGAGACTAGAGGAGTCAATGTGTCCAGAGTGTTATTTCTACCATCATAACTTTCTCTTAGCAGAGCACATAAGCCATGGCCGAGGGAGCTGTTATTTTAGTGTTATTACGTCATTATTTAGCTGTTATTTTAGTGTTATTACATCATTATATAGCTGTTATTTTACTGTTATTACGTCATTCTATAGCCATTATTTCAGTGTTATTACGTAATTCTATAGCCATTATTTCAGTGTTATTATGTCATTCTATAGCCATTATTTCAGTGTTATTATGTCATTCTATAGCCATTATTGCAGTGTTATTATGTCATTCTATAGCCATTATTTCAGTGTTATTATGTCATTCTATAGCCATTATTGCAGTGTTATTATGTCATTCTATAGCCATTATTGCAGTGTTATTATGTCATTCTATAGCCATTATTTCAGTGTTATTATGTCATTCTATAGCCATTATTTCAGTGTTATTATGTCATTCTATAACCATTATTTCAGTTTTATTATGTCATTCTATAGCCATTATTTCAGTGTTATTATGTCATTCTATAGCCATTATTTCAGTGTTATTATGTCATTCTATAGCCATTATTTCAGTGTTATTATGTCATTCTATAGCCATTATTTTAGTGTTATTACGTCATTATCACTGATGTTGGGTGATTAGGCCTGGCTCGGAGTCGGTGATCCAATTCATCCCAAATATGTTCTATGTGGTTGAGGTAAGGGATCTGTGCAGGCCAGTCAAGTTCTTCCACACAGATCTCGACAAACCATTTCTGTATGGACCTCGCTTTGTGCACAGGGGCATTGTCATGCTGAAATAGGAAAGGGCCTTCCACAAACTGTTGCCACAAAGTTGGAAGCACAGAATCGTCTAGAATGTCAATGTATTCTGTAGCGTTAAATTTCCTTTCACTGGAACTAAGAGGCCTAGCCCGAACCATGAAAAACAGCCCCAGACCATTATTCCTTTTCCACCAAACATTGCAGTTGGCACAATGCATTGGGGGATGTAGCGTTCTCCTGGCATCTGCTAAATCCAGATTCGTCCACCGGACTGCTAGATGGTGAAGTGTGACTAATCACTCCAGAGAACGCGTTTCCACTGCTCCAGTGTCCAATGGCGGCGTGCTTTACACCACTCCAGCCGACACTTGGCATTGCTCATGGTGATCTGAGGCTCTTTCTCCTTAATATTTTATTCTCCTCTCTTATCAGTCCCTGTCCCTAGTCTCAGCACACACTTCTCTACCTCTCTGTTGGCAAACTATAGACGTCATGTGCAGACAGTTATTACACCCTAACCCTAACTCTAACCCTAACCCTAAACCTAACTTTAAACCTAACCCTAACCCTAAATCTAACCCTAACCCTAACGCTAATTCTAAACCTAACCCTAACTCTAACCCTAACTCTAAACCTAACCCTAACTTTCACATGAACAGAGAGAATAAGTACCAGTTTTCAGACTGAGGTTCTCGCGAATCTCGTCGTGGTCGCAGGGGTGGGTGAAGTCAAAGATGCTTTGTCCGGTCGTCTCCACCTGTAGAGACACACATATGGTGTCACGTCAGCAAGAACACAGACAGTGACAACCCTTTGTTACATTGTGGTAACACCACTTCAGCCAAACCAAAGAGACTAGTAACACCTGTATTCAGTCACAGTATAGAGGTTATGAAGACTGTTGCTCTTGGTTATCAGAAAGACCAGCAGTGAGAAATATAGCAGACAAAGCTGATGGTGTGGGAAGTGAGGGAGGGGTGGTGACCTTCTGCCCTACGTAGCAATAGTAGATAATGTGTTTGGGCCAAACAAGACTCTGAAAGGGCTGACATTTCAGACGGCTATGAGAGACATCATCAGCTACAGCGCTGTCTGCCTGTCTGCCTGTCTTGTCTCCAGGGAGAGAGTACTGGATGTATTGTACATAAGAAACAACTCCATTATGTGTGATTACATAATGTTTCAATCATGTAATGTTTCTGCTCACCTGTGTTAAGCCCATTAACTTGTTGACGTTTTCTGAGAGGAAGATCATGTCGCCATCTGATGTAACCACGGTGACGAACCCCTCCAGTGACTTCAAATACAAACTGTCCATCTGTCTGTCCTCCTCTGCCTCTGCACTGTTGGGGCAGCCTGTGGAAAACACACACGTTAGATGTGCAACATTATATAACTGTGTGTGCGTGTGTCAAGCTTGTTTTCCTTCTTGAAGCCCTGGCCCAGGTCCAAAACAAACCAGAACAACTTCATCCTGCATCTCTAAACACTCCCTTGGTTGCTTCCCTCACACACACACACACACACACACGCACACACACACTTGAGAAAGGCTGTTGCTTAACGGCGTCCGTCTTAAGGCACACACTAAGGAGTTAGCCTAAACCTTGAGACGAACATTCCCAGTACACTGAAAGTATATGATATATTAGCCAGTAGTGAATCTAATGAAGGAACACATCCCCAACAATATTCTGCAGTCAGCACCACATTTCTTCAAGCCAAGTGAGAAAACAGAGATAATGTTCATTTGGCATGGGCTCAAAAGGGAGGCAGCAGAGCGACTATAGAGTCCCAGTGAACAAAACGTGGCTCCATGCTGGGGGGGATCGGAAGCCTGTGATTCCTCCAGTGTGCTTCCCTTAGATAAGAGCTGTTCTCAAGGCCTATGGGGGGGGGCCTGGGCCTGGATTTTGGAGTTTGGTTCAGCATGAGAATACGGCCCCAGGGGAGCAGCGACTTTCTCATGGGTCCTCGGCTGATGGGAGATTAAACTCCACAGGACCACCTTTGGCCTGAACACTTAGCAGTGATTTTGCGTCGGTAGTTTTCTTCTCTATGATTCTGAGTAGAAAGTTTGGGATTCTAATAACTCCCCTTTGAGCTGTACAGAGACAGAGAAAAAGCTCTGATGAAGGCCTTGAGGCCGATACGTAAAGCTTATTAAAGAGCAGTGAAACTAGCCAGAGCAGTGAACGGCTTTCTCATTTTTTCTCAGCTGTACAGAGACTTAACATGGTTAAATGTACGTTAATCGGTACAGTATGTTAAGTCAACGTCACACTGCAGGACTAATAGCTTCAACAAAAGCACTGATTATATATATATATTATATCACAGGATACCATTTCTTCCATCATTCCCTGTAGTGTGTACTGTATCCACCTACGGATTTGAGCTCTGAGGACTTTCCTCTTGAATGTTTCATTTCACCCCATATCAGAATCACTGCAGCTCAGTGCAAATGCAACAAATTGAACCGTTGTAGGGGTGTTGGTGAGACCAGGTCATGTCAGCTACATACTTTAAAAGGCAGCCTGCTTCTGTTGTCAGATAAATATATAGATATACACTACCAGTCAAAAGTTTAGAACACCTACTCATTCAAGGGTTTGTCTTTATTTTTACTATTTTCTACATTGTAGAATAATAGTGAAGACATCAAAACTATGAAATAACACATATGGAATCATGTAGTATCCAAAAAAGTGTTAAACAAATCAAAATATATTTTATATTTGAGATTCTTCAAATAGTCACCCTTTGCCTTGATGACAGCTTTGCACACTCTTGGCATTCTCTCAACCAGCTTCACCTGGAATGCTTTTCCAACAGTCTTGAAGGAGTTCCCACATATGCTGAGCACTTGTTGGCTGCTTTTCCTTCACTCTGCGGTCCGACTCATCCCAAACCATCTCAATTTGGTTGAGGTCGGGGGATTGTGGAGGCCAGGTCATCTGATACAGCACTCCATCACTCTCCTTATTGGTAAAATAGCCCTTACACATCCTGGAGGTGTGTTGGGTCATTGTCCTGTTGAAAAACAAATGATAGTCCCACTAAGCCCAAACCAAATGGGATGGCGTATCGCTGCAGAATGCTGTGGTAGCCATGCTGGTTAAGTGTGCCTTGAATTCTAAATAAATCATAGACAGTGTCACCAGCAAAGCACCCCCACACCATAACACCTCCTCCTCCATGATTTACGGTGGGAAATACACATGCGGAGATCATCCGTTCACCCACACCACGTCTCACAAAGACACAGCGTTTGGAACCAAAAATCTCCAATTTGGACTCCAGACCAAAGGACACATTTCACCGGTTTAATGCCCATTGCTCGTGTTTCTTGGCCCAAGCAAGTCTCTTCTTATTATTGCTGTCCTTTAGTAGTGGTTTCTTTGCAGCAATTCGACCATGAAGGCCTAATTCACACAGTCTTCTCTGAACAGTTGATGTTGAGATGTGTCTGTTACTTGAACTCTGTGAAGCATTTATTTGGGCTGCAATTTCTGAGGCTGGTAACTCTAATGAACTTATCCTCTGCAGCAGAGGTAACTCTGGGTCTTCCATTCCTGTGGTGGTCCTCATAAGAGCCAGTTTCATCATAGCGCTTGATGGTTTTTGTGACTGCACTTGAAGAAACATTCAAAGTTCTTGAAATGTTCCATATTGACTGACCTTCATGTCTTAAAGTAATGATGGACTGTCGTTTCTCTTTGCTTATTTGAGCTGTTCTTGCCATAATATGGACTTGGTCTTTTACCAAATAGAGCTATCTTCTGTATACCCCCCCTACCTTCTCACAACACAACTGATTGTCTTAAACCCATTAAGAAGGAAAGAAATTCCACAAATTAACTTTTAAAAAGGAACACCTGTTAATTAAAATGTATTCCAGGTGGCTACCTCATGAAGCTGGTTGAGAGAATGCCAAGAGTGTGCAAAGCTGTCATCATGGCAAACGGTGGCTATTTGAAGAATCTCAAATATAAAATATATTTTGATTTGTTTAACACTTTTTTGGTTACTACATGATTCCATATGTGTTATTTCATAGTTTTGATGTCTTATTCTACAGAGTAGAAAATAGTAAAAACAAAGAAAAACCCTTGAACGTAGGCCTCCTGTAGCTCAGTTGGTAGAGCATGGCGCTTGCAACGCCAGGGTTGTGGGTTCGATTCCCACGGGGGGCCAGTATGAAAAATGTATGCACTCACTAACTGTAAATCGCTCTGGATAAGAGCGTCTGCTAAATGACTAAAATATAAATGTAATGAGTAGGTGTTCTGAAACTTTTGACCGGTGGTGTATTTCGTATCCTTAGTAAGAAAATAAGGCTTGTGGTTTTTGATAAAAATGAGAATGCTAAATCATGCTTGTCAGCAACCGTAAAATTAATTTAATCTTAATCCCTGGGAATATCTGTAATTGACTCAATCAGTCAATCTTTCATTCAGTGTCATAGTGGCTATCTGAGGGGCCAGTGTGTCAGTGTCCCAGAATCACATGGGCTTCTCTTCTATTACAGAGGAGTTTCCCATACTGCAGCGGCAGTGTGTGTGTGCGTAGGCGTGCTGCATGGCGCCAGGGCAGGTCTGTGTTATGGCTGAGTTGACAGAAGGAGCGTCAGCCGTACCGTGGCAGCAGCTGGGCCTTCCTCTGAGCGCCTTCAAATCTCACTCTCCATCCCACTCCAATCAGAGGCACAGCCATGCAGATAAGATAATCATCTGTACCATCTCCCCTCTACAGAGCAGCTTTTCTCTCCCTCTCTCTCTCTCCTTCCCCTACTGTCCCTCACCGTCCCACTCCAGCCAACTCTGAACCCATACATTCCATCTCCTTTTCCTATGCTCTATATCGCTCACCTTCTAACTGGCCCTAAAACACCTACAGGCAGAACACCTTCTAACTGGCCCTAAAACACCTACAGGCAGAACACCTGCTAACTGGCCCTAAAACACCTACTAACTGGCCCTAAAACACCTACTAACTGGCCCTAAAACACCTACAGGCAGAACACCTGCTAACTGGCCCTAAAACACCTACAGGCAGAACACCTGCTAACTGGCCCTAAAACACCTACAGGCAGAACACCTGCTAACTGGCCCTAAAACACCTACAGGCAGAACACCTGCTAACTGGCCCTAAAACACCTATAGGCAGAACACCTGCTAACTGGCCCTAAAACACCTACAGGCAGAACACCTGCTAACTGGCCCTAAAACACCTACAGGCAGAACACCTTCTAACTGGCCCTAAAATACCTACAAGCAGAACACCTGCAAACTGGCCCTAAAACACCTACAGGCAGAACACCTTCTAACTGGCCCTAAAACACCTACAGGCAGAACACCTTCTAACTGGCCCTAAAACACCTACAGGCAGAACACCTGCTAACTGGCCCTAAAACACCTACAGGCAGAACACCTGCTAACTGGCCCTAAAACACCTACAGGCAGAACACCTGCTAACTGGCCCTAAAACACCTACAGGCAGAACACCTGCTAACTGGCCCTAAAACACCTACAGGCAGAACACCTGCTAACTGGCCCTAAAACACCTATAGGCAGAACACCTGCTAACTGGCCCTAAAACACCTACAGGCAGAACACCTGCTAACTGGCCCTAAAACACCTACAGGCAGAACACCTTCTAACTGGCCCTAAAATACCTACAAGCAGAAAACCTGCAAACTGGCCCTAAAACACCTACAGGCAGAACACCTTCTAACTGGCCCTAAAACACCTACAGGCAGAACACCTGCTAACTGGCCCTAAAACACCTACAGGCAGAACACCTGCTAACTGGCCCTAAAACACCTACAGGCAGAACACCTGCTAACTGGCCCTAAAACACCTACAGGCAGAACACCTGCTAACTGGCCCTAAAACACCTACAGGCAGAACACCTGCTAACTGGCCCTAAAACACCTATAGGCAGAACACCTGCTAAATGGCCATAAAACACCTACAGGCAGAACACCTGCTAACTGGCCCTAAAACACCTACAGGCAGAACACCTTCTAACTGGCCCTAAAATACCTACAAGCAGAAAACCTGCAAACTGGCACTAAAACACCTACAGGCAGAACACCTTCTAACTGGCCCTAAAACACCTACAGGCAGAACACCTGCTAACTGGCCCTAAAACACCTACAGGCAGAACACCTGCTAACTGGCCCTAAAACACCTACAGGCAGAACACCTGCTAACTGGCCCTAAAACACCTACAGGCAGAACACCTGCTAACTGGCCCTAAAACACCTATAAGCAGAACACCTTCTAACTGGCCCTAAAACACCTAGAGGCAGAA